GGGCCGACTCGATGGCAAATAACAACAACAACAAGAGCAAATCCTAAGAAAAATGATAAAAGTGATGGTTATGGAGAGAGATTAAAAGCATACTGAGGTACCATTTTGCATGTCACACAGGTCAAAACCTGTAAATCTAAAATCCCTAAGTCTGAAGACACATACTGCTTATTCAGCGTAAATTATTATCATACCCTCTTCCATGAAAGACATTTTACTTAGCATTCCAATTCACAGATTTTACTCTTCTGATTTCCCTGCATAGTTGTGAAATGACATTTACATAAGATTACTCACTGTATATTGTTCATAATAACAAGTGACCAGAACCTGGGCAGAAAAGAGTTAAGGATGTGAAAGAAACTTTTCATTGTGTACTTTTAAAATATTTTTTTAACCACGTGAATACATTTTTTAAATAAAATAAATAGTGGTATAAACATATTTGGAAATATGAAAATAAACACAATAAGGAACAACTGAAAGGAAGCATGTAGAGAAATTTGGTATTTGATTTACCTATGTGTGGTGAGGAAGGAAGATTTGCAATCTACTTCTAAGGAGATACTGCCTCAGAAACCCAAGGAGAGGTTGCTATGAGTCGAATTGACTCAACGGCAGTGAGTTTGGTTTGTAATGTATGGTGAAGAATACTGAAAGTACCACAGACTGCCAGAAGAACTAACAAATCTGTTTTGGAAGAAGCGCAGATAATATGCTCCTTGGAAGCGAGAATGGCCAGACTTCATCTCACCTAATTTAATCATGTTGTCAGAAGGGACCATTCCCTGGAGAAGGACATTGTGCTTGGTAAAGTGGAGGGTCAGTGAAAAACGAGAAGGCCCTCAATGAGATGGATTGACACAGTGGCTGCAATGATAGGCTCAGGTATAGCAAGAATTGTGAGGCTGGTACAGGACTAGGCAAAATATTTCATTCTGTTGTATACAGGGTCACTATGAATTGGAGCAACTCAACAGCACCTAACAACAACAACAACATCTGAATATATTACTTTGTTTACAAATTTTAAAGGTAATGGCAAAAAAGGAAAATATGATAGAAAAAAAGTCTAGTTTGGAGCAATTAAATCACAAGATGCGCCAAAGTTGTTATTAAATGATCAAAGGATATTGCTTCAAAATCTTTATTGTATAATACTTGGGAATGGCTAGTGGTTGGAGAAATTGCATATATATGAAAATCTAGGGGGAAATTTTTATTAAAGGTTTTATAAGTAGCAATGAAACTTTGTGACAGTTTTTTAAATTTTTAAATAATATGAAAAATGAATGGGCAATATTAGGAAGCAATGCTCACATGATCAGAAAAAGGATCTTTTTTTTTTGTTGTTGTTGTTATTTTTTCTAGTACTTTTATTTCTTTAAGATGAATACCCAGAGAGTAGATGTATATGATACATCTATTAAAAAAAAAAATTTATTGTGATTTAGGTGAAAGTTTATAGAGAAAATTCATTTTCCATATAATAGTTCATACACATTGTTTCATAACATTAACTGCAATTCCTCACAATGTAACAGCTGTATTCCCACTTCCTCCCTGAGGTTACCTCTTCCCTCTTATTCCCTCCCATGCACTCCTGCCCCCGCCAAGCTGTCTCCCTGTGCAAATACTGCCCTTCTGTTCTCCCATGACTGATTGTTCCAAGGAGTGTATCTACCTGATGTAAATGTTCACCCCTTATGTCTGTCTGTTGTTTGGCTGGAAGCCACAGGAGTGAGTTCAATTCCATACCTGAAGGGGTGGCTAGGGGCCATAGTCTCAGGGGTCTCACCAGGCTCTGTCAGACCAGCAAACCTGGCCTTTTTTAATGATGAAAAAGGATCTTTTTATAGGGAATTAATCTGATACAAAAATTCTGTAAGACATTGTGATAGTAAAGGTTGTGTGAGTTGGCTGGACTATGATTCTAAAAAAACAAACAAAACCAAACTGCTGTTGAGTCGATTCTGACTCATAGCGACCCCTCCTTTAGTTTCTGAGGCCGTATCTCTATGGAAGGAGATTGCCCAGTCTTCCTTCCGAGGAGTGGCTGGTGGGTCTGAACCGCCAGCCTGGTTAGCAGTCAAATGCCTTAGGCACTACACCACCAGAACTTCCAAACTATGCTTCTAAGTGGTTTAAACAGCTGTGATATAATCACCTCCATAATGAAATGAAATGTATGAGCAGCCACTCAGTGGACAGGGAATTTCCTTAGGGGTGTGACCTGCTTCCCATATATGTCTGGACATCCTGGGAACATTCTCTGGATTTTTGCTGGATCTGGATCCTGCATCTAGCTCATCATCTCCAGTTCTTGGAGCTGAACCAGTGGCCTGCCTTACTGCTTGTCAATCTTTGTTGCTGTTGCAGCCTGTGAGCCAATAATCTGCCATCTTACCTGCCAATCTTGAATTTGTCATCTGCTAAAGCCAGCAGCCAGCTATACAGCCTGCCAGTCTTCGGTTCTTTAGCCCCTGTAACTGCGTGAGTCAGAAGAAGCCTCTAGCTTGATGTCTGACCCACAAACTTTGTACTTGCCAGCCTTTAAAACTGTGTGAGCCATTTTCTTGAGATAAATTTCTCTTTCTTGCTTGCTTTGTCTCTCTATAAGCTTCACTGGTTTTGCTTCTTTCTCTAGAGAACCCAGACTAAGAAAGGCATACTACATAAAACAGCAAGTTGAAAAATGCATATCCAGTAATAATTTAACACATATATTTGTAATATATACACATATGTATGAAGTACATATAAATGTATTTTGGGGACTTTTATATGTTACTTGCATAAAAATACTGGACAAGTATATTCAGTTTTATATCAGTAAAAATGAAAACCTAAAGCACACATTAAAACTGGAAGGCCATATCCTACTTCATTTTGCCCTTTGTGAACCATTCTTTACAAAGCAGCCAGTGACACTGGGTAAATCATTTTGATCTTTTTTCTGATTGATCCCTTTCCAAAGAAGTATTCAGGTATTTGTCTTCAATCTCATTAATTCTGTCTTCCATTGCATCAATTCTACTCCTTTGCCCTTTCAA